AAATTCCTCCCAGCCAAACATCTGGCTCCCCGAATCCACACTCCCAAATTTCCACTCCTTCATGCAATCCTTCTACCACCGTCTGTCCACTACCTCACAAATGATCCTCCTAGCCCTTGGTACAGGACTAGAGCTTCAAAATCCCTCCTTACTTGCGGATTTCCATTCCGGTCATACCAACCAACTACGACTCCTTCACTATCCTCCCATTCCCGCTTCTGAAATCGAAACCGGACTTGCGGTAAGACTACCAGCCCACACTGATTTTGGAAGCATCACCATGGTTTTTCAAGACGAGTGTGGAGGATTGGAAATCGAGCATCCGAAGAAACCTGGTGAATTCATCAGGGCGGATCCGGTTCAGAATGCCATTGTGATGAATATAGGTGATCTACTTATGAGATGGACTAATGGTATTTCATCCCTTCTTCATTTTTCTCTCCCCATTCCTATGCTCTTATCGTATGATGTATAACCACCAACCTGTTTACGCACATAGATGATCTCAAATCCTCACTCCATCGCGTACAACTCCCCCCCTCAACCTCTCGCTACACAATCACCAAGGAAGGAGTAAGAATGACACAAGCGCGTTATTCGATCCCATATTTCTGCGGACCGGATACAGATAAATCAATAGTAGTTCTTGAGGAATGTGTAAATGATGGGGAGAGAAAGAACTACGAACCGATTGTGGTAGGAGAATATTTCAAAATGAGAAGCGCGTTAGCGTATCAGAGTTAAATTGAGGCATAAGAATCTTAAGTGAGAGATAAGGGGATGACGGGGAGACGATGTACGAGTTCTGATTTTCTGCGATGGTGGAATGATGATCCATTGGTATTGTTGCTTGAAACCCCATGAGTCAAACAAATTGAAATTGCTTGTTTTGCCAGCGCCAGTTAATTTTAGAACCAAAGCTGTACAAAATCGAGTGATCAATGCTCATAGATTTAGTATTTCCCTTCTCGTCTGAACGAATCCCAAGACGTAGTAGTGCTTGGTTTGAATGTGTTATTTGCATTCTCAGTATGAGATAAAGAAGAAACTCCAGACACAACTTTCTTATCACCAATACATGCACCACTCTGTCTCTCGGTACCCGGGCTATCGTACTCGAACTACCACGGTCTCGTCTAGAAGCTCATGATATCGCCCCATCAAATCAAGTCTAGACTCACGCTAGATGACCTGTGGTACACATCAATAAGAGTATGTCTTTCCGTAGAATAGAGATGGTACTAGAAATGCCCGACTTGGTCTTCTAATAATATACCCAATGTTATAGCACATCAGATGTGCTTGCGCGATGCTGGGTTTTCAAAAATTAATGTTTGCATTCTCAGCCGAGGGGTTGCGATATACCTTCATTTGCGATTATGCATTCAAGCGTGAGAGATTTGGAACAAAAGATTTATTGGGAGCTTAAATGTGCTTGTGTATTCAGGATCTAGGTATAGATCACATTCTTATCTACTTGTTCTAGCTAGAGGCTACGTAGAGTTATGTTACAGCTGCCGAGACGATTGCAAGATCGATATGATATTAAGCTGTTTCCTTCTTGAATTGAAACATCGGCTCCTCCTTCTTCGCGGCGCAGGCGTCTTTCAACTGGTAGATATTTCGATTTCTCCTTTCCTATCCAAAGTCTGGAGATCCTTCACCTACGATGTCGCGTCTGGCTTCTTCAGATCTACACAATAAAGTGTCCACAATAATAGTGGCGACAAAAGATTCCGATAATCGAATTGCAGCGCCTGATATGGTGATATGGTTGAGTTTAGGATGCGTCGCCTCCGGGGATAAACGTCTCGGTTGACTGTATGAATTGCCAGAGTGCCCAATTGATCTTTTTCTCTCGAAAATGCCTGGTAAAATCTGCTTTTCTTTAATGATAAATTACGAATTAATAGAAAGATGGAAAGATAATCTAGCTTACGATTCAGAGCAATGAGAATTCATTCTGAAGCCGGCCATGGAGCGTTAACAGTCACAGTTAACACAAATCTATATCAACGACAAACATAACCAAAAATTAGAGTCTTAAAAATCGGAAGAAAGAAAATGCATCCATCAATGTGTAATGCTCTCCATGTTATACTCACGACTGCCAAAAAAACTCCAAACAGATTTTGTATTCCATATCAGCTCCTGAATCTACTCGACAAATGCGATACTTTCATCACCACACCAGCCAACCACCCAACCAATCGCCATCGTTACACCAGCCTGCACCTTCCCGCCGCATACTTGCATACACCCATGCACCCACGCACCCACCTTCCCCATTCACCAAACTGTTGCATATCGTAAGATCTGGAACATTTTGACTACTGCAAGACTAGCATTCATCGACATACTTTATCCATCCAATCACACTTCTCTGAGAGATGCAATACAAACGCTCAAGATCCAGCCGTCTCGCTTGAGGATTATCGGATAATCCGATAGGTTTTGAGTGTTGGTGTCTCGTTTGATAGATGGATGTACTCGGATGAATACATACATATGTGTGGATTTCGCCGTGAATTTATGGATGAGAAAAGCCACGGCGATCGAAGGCGAAAATCAGATGTGCAACAAATGGGTTGGAAGAGTTTTGTGGTCGGGTTGAGCGATGTGATGTGTGCAACAATTGGGTTTGATCAGACGGGAGCGATGAAAGCGGAGGTATGCAGGAGGCTGTAATCATGTGAATGTTCTATCATGTGAGGAGGCGTGAGTGTGCCCTTTTCATTTTGAAATTTGGCAGTGTGTTGACGGTACGGTTTGGGGAACTGCATTGAGCCGTCTAGTGGTGGCAGGATGAACTGGCTCGATTTCTATACACGTTGAAATGCTTTCAGTCTTACTTTGCTATTGTTTCGGGGTATGTTGTACAATATTGCAAGTATAACTACCAGTAATTTGTCCACTTAGCTTAAGAACCTTACATATGTCAATCCTTGATTTTGGTTTCCACAGGAGATGAAGACCTACTTTGGTATACTTTGGTAAGCAGAAATTGACGAGTGTCAACTAAGACGCAAGCAATCTACACTAGCTGACAAACTGATGTGTAAACTTGGTGAGCCATCAGTGCAAAATGACAAGATTGGCTAGGAATCCTCTACCTATGAAAATGCAACATTTTATCTGAGAGTGTGTGTAGGTTCTGTCAAGTGTTTAGATGAAGTGCATCTATTTTTACTAGCATTAACAAGAAGTTGTTTCATATGCTCGTTATGGGAACTTCGAACAATACTAAAGTCTCTTTACCTCTTGGACATGTCGAAACACGAGGAAAGCGTCGTTTGTGTCTTTCCAATCGAGCTAAACTTCATGATTAGATTGGTATGTTATTTGTCCTTGTATCAAAACTTGACGCAATGAAGAAGCGACGCTCTGGAGTGTTAAATTGTAGACGATCTCTATCCGGATTACGAAGGATCCTGAAGCTCGAAATACCATCGCCATAGATATACAAAGCCCCATGATCATATGGCTCGAAGAAACTTCTTATGACAAAGCAAGGGTTTGAGACAATGCATTGTTTTAACATGGCGTTCGTTATAGATGTGTTCTCCAGCAAGTGTATATCCAATTACCGAAGGAATACTGCCAACCATCAATATACAAATGAAGCCTTGATAAAAGGAAAGCGAGTACTCGACTGCATATTCTCCATACCAGACGCGACAGAAAAGTTATCCGATCATTCTTGAGGTATGAGAGAGGGATAACATTGAAAGCTGAAGGACACAAACGACTAAAACGCATACGAGTGAACTTCTTGCCGACAACGATCGTTGTCGCTACTGACCACTGCTATTACTAGAGTGTGGACTTTCAAACTCCTCCAGACACTCTGTAGCAAACAATCATCCCGCATGCTTCTTGATCCACATCTCCAATCGCTTCAATCTCATTCATACAACTCATCACTCCTAGCTTCCAATTACAATATCTCGACAGAAAGCTTCTGGCACACAAAAATGCACAAGCGATCCAGAGATACCCCAGAAAGCCCTCTCTCATCATACTACTCCAAGCGTATTTCAATATCCACGCATTGTCAGATAGTTATATCCTCACACAAGCGTGCATTAGAGACGAATCAAGAGATCCGCATAATCGCCACCGTGACATCGACGTATACAGATGTACATCAAGCAGACCATTCCCATACCATTGATCTAGCTCTCCAACGACCCGCCATGTCACAATCCCCAACTAACCTTTCTAGCCAGCGCATATTCCGATTCTACAACACTGAGCTGCACACAGCTAAAGATTGGAAGGCTTGCAGAAGTCTCGTGTAACGTTACAGACGTCAATACAAGCAATGAATGGCACGCCAGTTACCATCCTTCCCAGCACAAAAATTGTAAGAGCACACTACTCCAGCAATCCAAAGAACCCCATTCACATCCAGAACCACTCCAACTCCAACCGTATCCCGTATCCCGTATCCCGTACCTACTCGTACGATAGATGCACCCATCACGCATGGCATGCGTATACGAAAAATGCGGTTCTCGCATCCGGGGTTTTCACGTACTCACGTACCCAACCCACGACTCCCCGGGTGCCTCTCACACGAAGCGGCGGGCGAAGCCCAGAAAAGAAAAGAAAAGAAAAGTTCTCGATGCACCATGCGCCATACACGAGGGACGGCGCGCTTTGATAATCCGCGAAGGAAGGCTTGGCTCGCAACGTCCATGCAGAGTAATCACATAGCATCACGTAAATTTTTGGCGTCCAGGCTTTTTCCCATGCGCATCTTCGTATATCGGTCGGTGTAGGCGAGCACATTACATACACATTTCAGCTGTCGACAATCTGCGAGTCTGCCAAGCCGTGCCCGGAAAAATCCACCTGGCACGACTTCCGGAAGATCCCCGCTGCAGATATACGAAGATGATGGCATTCTCATTGGCCGTGACCGATTCCAGGCATTCAGGCTGTTTGGCTGAAGAATTTTCGATCTTCGTGTTGTCAATGTGCCCCTCTGTCATCATATCCACCTTACAGGCTATGTATGATATTCATGAATTGTGTCAATCAGGAACTGTACTCATGTACTACTAATACTCGTCTACTTTCCCATTGCTAAATCAATATCCCAACAATTGTGTGACTCAAAAGACAATTCATCTCACTCAAACTCTCACAGTCATCAAAATGTTAACAAAATTCACCGCCCCCCTGATATTCCTCTTCCTACGTACAGCGATATGTACGCCCCTCAGCCCCCATCTCCAAACTCGTCAATCCGTCACCCCACCACCAGAATGCGACGTCATACCTACCTGGGAGGTGACGGATTTTCTCTGGTTCAACTCCACGCATAATTTAGATTGTGTGAACCAGGTGAACGTTCGTAAGTACCTACTTATCTACATCTCATTCCCATACTCCTCTCCAAATCGTTCTCTGTAGAATCCCAGCTAAGAACCTCTACAGCCAACGTATGTCTCAACGCCACCTCTGACGGCCTCATACCCTGTGACGGCAATCTCGATACCTGTGACAGATGCGACTTAAACGCCTGTCTCACTGGTCTTCCCGGGCAACCCGCTGGTTTCGGCCCTCCAGACGATATTAAAATCGGCATCAACACTCCTGACGAATACAACCGATGTGAGCAAACCAACCCAGCTGGATTCCGTCGTTACGACGTCGGCAATGGAATTGTCTTCTGTGCAGGAGTAGCGTATCGAGTTTCCTTCATCGGCGATAGCAATCCCCACAGTGACGGTTCGCCAAACAAAGGAACGATTTATTATCAGCCGAACTACGAGTGGACTTGTACGAATGGAAGCGTTATTAAGGGGTATGGGATTATAGAGTTTGATATGGATTGTTCATATGATTCGGGATATAATGCAACTTGTGTTATCCCTGAAGGGGCTAATCGTGTTATTCCCCTCTTATCCTATACAATCACTTAGATCATTAGCTTTATGGGATTAATTTTTCCAATAGAAGGAAGAGGGTCAATATCGGGTCGAATATATAGTCCAGAGATTGTCAATCCACCCCGCGTTAGCCTCCAAAAATAATTTGCTGTTCGCGAGAGGTATTCATCGGATATCAAGATCGGGCTTGGAATAGATGAATATAAATTTTGTCCTATTTCCCTTTTAAATTAATATCTATACCGTTTCACAGCAATGCCATATACCTAAAGGTCAAAAAGCTGTCTAATATCTCTCATGGTATCATCTGGATTCTTCACACTGTGACCAATTGTCCTTGGGTCCTCATAGATCTCGTAATCGTTTCCTCCCTTGTATGTCTTATCTCCAAAGAAATGAATAGTGGTGTATTCAATACCACCTGGACGCTTTGCGTCATTCTCAAGATGTTGGAGACAGTACGTCTTATCCCAGCCAGTAGGGAAGACATCGAAAGAAATTTGACCACCGATTGAGTAACTGTGTCGCAAGTTATTAGTCTATCCCATCATCGATTTTCCAAGCGATCAAGAGAACTCACGTCAAGTCCAGACCAGTGAACTTTTCCTTCAAGGCCTCGATGAATTTCTCTCTGATGTGATGTTCCTTATCATAGACCTCATACTCATTTCTCTCCACAACACTCGCATTTCTACCAATTGGGCTAACATTGATCATGCCATTTCTGAATTCGATAAATGTTCCTCTCTTCACTGGAATATCCAAATCCGCAACATAATGCAAGATAAATCTGACCAACTCTTTGTATTGAGACTCCCCGATCCACTTGATGAAGCTATTCGATTGAAGGGGAACACCGCTTTTGAAAGCTGTGAGACCGTTTTCGGCGAAGCAGAAATCGAAGATGGAGGTAACGGGGATCTCAGCAGTGCCGAGTTGTTCTTGTTGTTTGGCCATGTCGCTGCCACCTACATAACCGATGGCGCATTTTTGGCGGAGGGCGGCAAGGAGATTTAGCATTTCTGCGGAGGCAGACTGTAGTTTTGATTGTTAGTTAGGCATAGTGAAAGGTGTTAAGAAGTTGGGAGGGACTTACTAGCCGCGCAGGAGAGAGAGTTCCATCAACATCGAAAAGACAGATGGTGTTTTTGATGGGTCGCTCTGCGAGAGGGGGGAAACTGGCAATTACGGCGTCTGTCATTTTGAAATATTTTGTTTGAAGGTATAATTAAAAAACGAACGAGAGAAGTTGAATTGGAAGGAAGTGAAGGATTGAGTTTAGAAAGTTGACACTTTGGCGGTCTGGCTGTTTTACTAGAAGGGGGAATGAGGGGCATAGCCTGACAGGGATATAAGCTGATTAAGATATTGATCTAGCGAGAACCCTTGGCTCCACCACTCGAGTATCCTTATGATTTACTATCGTTTGATCTACACGAGTAGACAGTCTCAAGACATCTAAAGGTCACAATTTAATTGTACACAGCTTGAAGAGATCTTGTGGGTATGTTCTCTGAGATTCAAGATTTCTTTCCGATGGTATTCGATTCTAAAAGCTTCTGAAGTAAATAGGGAATACAATACAGCGGGTACAACGACAACCTCCATTCGACTATCGTCCCCATCCAGTGATCTAATCAATCTCCCGAGGTCTCTACAGACATCAAATGTTTCTCTCGATATGCTTCTCAAAAGGCGATGATCTCATTCCGATTATACATGGCTAGTACTTAGTTCATGACATTAGAAGCAAACATACACAAAAGTGTATTCCATAGGACTGTGTTATTCAGCTACCCAGTAAAATATCGCTTCTCAACTACTCCCTCTTTATATGCTACAAAATCAACGAATAAGGCAGTCCAATAAATATATATCACGATTTAAATCGTCACGAGAGTATCTCATTAAGTGCACCGCGTTTTTGATACCTCTCTTGCATATTGCAAATCGCATACCGATCCAATCCTTCCTCTTCCTCATTATCTGCCAAACTCCAAACTTGGTACGATAACAGGGCCATATTTAGTAGGTGGGCTGAATCCTCCATCCCCTTGCACCACGAAATCAACAGCTAGACTCAACTTTGCCAGCCCAGCGTTTCCACTGTGCATACTTCCATTTGCACTCATGCCACCCATCATTGAATCTGGATCGAAAGCAACAAACGCTACGTAATTTCTCCTTCCCATCAGCTTCTTCATATCTCGTGGTCCCCCATTGGTGTCTGTCTGGAATATCTCCATCATGTCTTCTTTGGTATCGCTGACTTGGTTTGTTGTTTTGACACCATTTTGAGGAACGTAAAGTGGTTTGTTGTTGTGGAGCATTTTGAGAACATATGATGGAGGCGGAGCAGCGACAACTGCAGATGCGATGATTTGATACATGGTTTTGTGGTCAGAGGGGTGAGAAGGATCGTGGACAAGTCCTGCACCGCAACAATTTACGTCTAGGAATGAGTCAGCAATTTGTACTTCTGTAAAAGATGCATAGATAACTTACCGCCAGATAGGAATGTCATCCGAATACCCTTCTGATGAGCAATTCCTTGCAAAGTCCGTATTAGATATGTTCGTTCCAAATCTTTACTCTCGTGTGTCCACATATCTCTCAACTCATCTGCAATATCAATATCACCAAATGTATTAAGCACACCTCCCATCAAACCCGACTTGCCAACTGCCTTCTTAACATGAGAAAAGCCAGTTGCCACGGCTTCTTTACCTCCCACTACTCCAGCCACGGAACTTGTGACTTTTCCGAGTAGGTTATACGTGCTGTTCACAGCTTTCTTACCCGTGGCCATGGTATGTGCGAGACTTTCTACGGCTTCAAGTCGTGGATATACCACAGGAACTGATATCATCCATATGCAGTGCTGTACACTCGGAGGTAAAGTGGCTACTTTAGGGAAGATGCCTTGATAGGTAGGACCAGCGAGAACTTGGCGTTGAGTGCGTTCTGATCGACAATCTGGGCCTACCACAACGACGGAAGGTCCTAGATATTTGACAAAGTGCCAGCCAGTTCCGGTGATTGTAAATAAATCGATATCAGTGCTAACGTTTCGGAGAATGTCAACAGTGGTGTGGTGCTGAAAGAGGAGATACATCTCAATACCGATACGACCAATGTTTTTGAACATGTTGGAATTTTGCATATATTCCGGATAAGAGCCATAGCCATCAAAACTTGAAAGTGTTGTTAGTGACAGTCAAAGTGAAGAAACGCATTGTCGAAAACTTACATGTCATGGTCATCGATCTGTAGTATGTGAGGGATTTGAGCAAATGCCTCCCTTAAGTATGGTTGATCAAAATGACTAGTATAGTAATGGAAGTAAGCATGCGAGACGTCCTCCTCATGTCTCGCTGTCCATGCCGCACTTCTTCGATTTTCTTTGCCACTCATAGCAAGCCATTGCTTCAGCAAAGGAACCTCCTTCCATAGTCTATCACCATAGATTTGATCACCTAAACCCAACTGCACGTGGAAACCACCACATTCAACATTCTTCTGCAAAATGTCTTTCCACATAAAACCAATACCGCCAAGTTTTGAACGCTCGTTGACGGTAGTATTCATAGCAAAATCATTACCAGAATGCGCAATAAATCTCCAATTAGTCTCGAAACGTCCAGCTACCAAAAATTCATATCGCGTACAACCCAAATGCGAAGTTATGGCATAGGTCCACTTGTCACCTGGGCCTTCTCCCATCTTCAAATCTACATCATAGCGATAGAAGACCCATCTTTGATGCGTATAGATTGGGTTTGGTTTGAGTTGCCTGGGATTCGGCGACAGATCGACACTTTGATGGATATGAATAGTTGGTGGTTGTGGAGCATCTGTCACGAGCATAATTGTACCCAACCATACACCATTTTCCATATCCATATTCACGTATCGCAGATAAGGACCGAAATACACGCCATTCGTGGGAGCAACTTTATACATGTCAACCCCTGCGGTGGGAGGCGGCCCGGAAAATCCTGCAGTAGTTGGCGTTCCTGACGCCATACTCATAATACTCTCTGCATAGCCCGGGGTGTGTGGAGGAAATCCTGGTGAGCCAATAAAGCCAGGCGAGGCCATTCCTTGAAAGCCAGGTGATGCAAGAGATTGTTTGTTGAACATGCTCAAGCCCGGAGACGCCATAGGGTTTCCATATCCAGCATAGGTTGATTGTACTGGTGAAAGCGGAACATCATTCAAAGGAGTAGGGCCCTTGGGAAATTCCCATTGAGTTGCTTGAGTAGGAAGATGAATGTAATAATACTGACCAGAGTTCTGGTCGAGATGAGCAATCCAGCCCTCTGGGAGCGGTGGTGGAGATGACGGACCAGCGCCTTGAAAAGGAGAAATATTGACAGGCTGAGCTGATGGGCCAGCTTCAGTAGGCTGTTGGTGTGGAATTTGTTCCTGTCGTGGCTCGTTTGCAAATGCAGGGTGGTCAGGATTATTTGCGGGCGTTGCTAATGGCGGTGCAATATTTGGTTTTGGCGTAGTATCTATGGCAGCAGGTGGATTGGTACGCTGTTGTTTCTCAACCGGGTACGCTTGTGAATTATTGGCACCAGGAGTCACACTAGAATAAGCTGGCGGTGGCTCTTCAGCAGACATTTGCATGCGCTGAAAGTCCTGTTCCAGAGTATTGGCTGGTGGCGCCGAACCTTGTCTTTGGGGCCGAGTGACAGCGGGTGGAGGTGACGATGGAGTGATTTCATTCAAGCCTTGATATACTCTAGGTGGGCCATGCGGTGCATTCTCTGGAGACTCTGTTGGAGTCCAAGGTCTGGCGGGAGGCGATTGTGGCATTTGTGGAACAGGAGGCGGCGCATATTGATTAGCTCGCTGAGCAGCAGCAGCATTTTGCGCCTGTAAACTACTCAAAGTCGCAGCACCTGCAATTCCAGATGCAGCATATCGCGCCTCGATGCCACCACCTCCAAGTTCGCTTGGTGGCTCGATAGGAGTTTCTGGGGGAGGTGGGGATCCTCTATTTGCTCTAGTAGTAGAGGTTGAAGCCGTGGAAGCGAATCTATTCATATCGTTTCTTGGAGTTGGTGAAAGTATCGAAGGCACCGCATTAGAAGAGGTAGGTTTAGGAATAGGAGGAGGATAATAGTGCCTATTGCCCTCCGAGTACGCACTTGCGCCAGATGATGGAATTGGTTCCTTTGGGGGTATTCTGCCAAACATTCCTTCTCTATCGGGGGAGCTTATTTCTGGAGAAGCAGGCAAGGGCTGTGGTGCATTCCCCCTTCTTTCCGATAGCCCTGGGCCAGTCTTCTCTATAGGACTTGTAAATCGTGGTGCTGTATCATACGCATTTTGCCTGCTATTTCCTCCAGATATTCTATTTTCTTGATCGCTCAGCTGGATCCTTTGTGGAGCCTTTCCTCGGTCGTCAGGATAAGGAGGGTTTGGTTTCTTCTGAAACAGGTCGTCATCGTCATCATCGGGATATGGTAAAGGGTTTGCGGAGCTCGAGGCACCTGGTGGCAAGGGGAATGTATGTTTGTTCGCAGGAGGCGGGGATGCAAATCGACTAGAAGAGCTGGATTCCGCTCGATGTCTGGGTGGACTTGTCGGCTTTACAATTCTCAAAGGTTCTATGGTTACGGTAGGACTATCGCAACCATCGCCAGGACGTTGCATGAATAGCTCATCGCCGGGTTTCCCAGTGCGCCGGGCCATCTTGTACAGATTACAAGCGCTCCGCTAGATAAAGTTGCGAATAGGGTGGTAGATTCTTCTTAATACGAGTTCTTCCTTCAATGATCTGCTGGACAGATGGCTGAAATAGAGCCAAGCTCTTTGCCGGCGAGGCGGGGGAAGGTTGCGTCAGGTAGTATCAGAGCTTACAGCGGCCACGAAAAAGGCCTGTAGGGCAGAAACAGATAAACGATAAGAAAGGCTGTAAGAAGGAAGACCCAACGACCTGTTGTAAAGTTCTCCACGGCGTAAAATGCGAAACGGGAAAAGTTTGGGGATACAAATCCGTGTAGGGAGACAAGAAAGAAGAGAAAGAGCTTACGAGTTAAGAGATCAAACTTGGAGAACCAGTTTAACAGGTTAGAAGATGGATGGTATTTGATTGAAATGAGTGAATCTGAACGAATAACGAATAACGAATAGGAAGAGCGGGGCAGTCAAACTCGCATACACAGCTTTTATCCTGAAGCCAGTAATCGTGAAGGGTAAGGCAAAGACCCTGGCACAAAAGATGGGCGGCTACGAAGCCTGATGGGGTGTGGTGGTGGGATACCTACCGGTACCTATCCTATAGAAGCTTTGTGCATTGATTATACTGAATGTGAGTAAAGAGAAGTCTCCTTGGTATTGATGTTGATATTGACATTGGTTCTTGTTGTGTGATTGTGTGGTTGTGTGGTTGCGTGGTTGTGTGGTTGTGATACAGATGATCGTAGATGCGAATCTGTGAAGGTTGTAAAGTGGAACATGAAGCATGTTTGGAAGCGTCGATTGAAAGTTTGCCCGTCTAATTGGTTTGCTTGCTGCCCAAACTCATTCATTACCTGTTAATGACTACCTACCTACCTACCTACCTACTCTGTAGATGATACTAATGCCAAGAATCAACTTTCTTCATTCTTTTTCGTCCCGAGTCCCGAATCCTTCCCGTGATCTACTGCTTTAGCATTTCCTAAGTATCTGTCTGTCTGTCTGTATTCCAAGTACAAAGTCAGGCATGTCGTTTCCGTCTAGAGTGCGTTGATGCATCGTGCGTTATACCTCCCTCGCGACATCTTTATCTATCCTCAACTACCTACCTACCTAGATACCTACAGAGCGAGTAGAAAACGAGGTCATCTTCACTTCCCACGGCAAGAAAGCCACTCGATATACCCACGTGATGGAATCTCTAACATTCATGTTCCATCGGTCCATCTAGGACGGTGTGCCATACCTAAAATAGCACATGGAATATTGATTTTCAAAGATCTGTAGGGACATCACACTTGTCACATATTGGAGCACGTCTAGTTCTAGTTTGGTCTACATGTCTTTAAATATCTTTGGCATTCGAAAGTATGTAAGTACTTCTTATATTAGGCTAACAAATACTCCGTCCGACGGTCCAAATGATTCAAGTCATTATCAAAATGTTATCTCGAAGCATCGTGAGAAGTCTTCCGGTCGAAGTCGCAATCGCTTACAACCAGATTTTGACAGTGAAGCTTGAATGATAATATATCTTATAACCCTATACGGAGTAGATAGGCCTAAATACATCCAAAATCTAATAATCTGCCTCTGCATTATCGTCTACCGGTATTCCATACAGTGTACATACATACTTGAATGCATTATCACAACTTGCATCACCTCCTTACATATTCTCGTGCAATGTGCATAGACTAGATTTTGCCGTTGCCGTACCATTGCTCTGCTGTACCAAAATCATGAAATTCAGGGGTTGTTAGTACGCGTGAAATCCACTATACGCGAACGCGTCGACGCGATCTTCTACATATCAATATCCGACCCATTGAATTTGACAATTTGCTCATCATTACAACTTCCTCAATTCTCTCAATTCCAAGTAAAACTTTTCGTGATTAAGAAAGAACATACTTGAATTGAGTTAGAGAGAGAGAATGACATCCTCAATTATGCCTTCTGTATTAGGAAAAAGAACCCGCAGCACAAGAGCAATAGCAGGTACGAAGGATCATTTCGCAGGCGTTCAATAACATTCTAATTTTTATTCTACAGAGTTCAAAGTACCATCAACGCGCGCAAAGCGACAAGCAAAAACAGAAATCTACAATGATGAGAATGAAAATCCTTTCATTACTCGCAAGAGGCGCGATGAGGTCGACGATTCCGATGACGATTGTATGGACATTGACGAACTGTCGGAATCTATACCTGTCAAGTCCTCGCCTTCGAAGCATGGATTGGCAAGCAGAAAGATCGCATTGCCGAAAAAGACATTAATAGAAGAAGCGTCCAAAACAGTTCAAGTCCCTACTCCTCAAACACCTCGACATCGCGATGCGCTATCCAAAAAAGTACAAATAACCCCTCGGCATCGTGTTACTGTTACTGGAAAGCCAATGACTCCTAGAACTCCAAGGACTCCTGTAACACCCGGTGGATCAATTGCGACTGTATATACTCAAGCTCGACAGATCTTCACGCGGAGCTCAGAACCTGGACGGCTTGTTGGAAGAGAGACCGAAAAGGGCGAATTGAAAACCTTTGTACAAAATTGTGTCGACAAAACAAGTGGAGGATGTATATATGTTAGCGGTCCTCCTGGAACTGGAAAAAGTGCTATGATCAACGAAGTCACGACGGAATATGAAGAATCGACCACATTACACAAGACATATGTCAATTGTATGAGCATGAAAACCTCGAAGGATTTGTATGGTATACTGCTGGAGTCTTATTGCGGCGAGGAAGTGGTTTTGGATGGCGACGAAGAGAAGACTTTGCAGGATATGTTTATTTCGAGGAAAAAGACCAAGGACGTCTACCTTATTACACTGGATGAAATCGATCACATCCTCACCCTGGACCTGGAGATATTATACAAGCTATTTGAATGGTCTTTACAGAAGTCATCGCGCCTGATACTTATCGGAATTGCAAATGCATTGGATCTTACAGATCGTTTCCTACCAAGACTAAAGGCCCGGAATCTACAACCACAACTACTACCATTCCTTCCATATACCGCGTTGCAGATCAAGACTGTCATCATGACACGTCTCAAGTCACTTGTTCCCACGGATAGTGCGACTCCAAATTTCGTACCATTCCTCCATCCAGCAGCCATTGAACTTTGCTCCCGCAAAGTAGCAAGTCAAACAGGAGATTTACGCAAAGCCTTTGACATTTGTCGAAGAGCAATCGATTTAATCGAGACCGAAACCAAGCAAAAGCACGAACAGGAACTCAAAGACAAAATTCTCCTCGATAGCCCTTCCAAACGAATCCTAGAGGACAACATCAATCTCTCCTCCATTACAAACACCCCCAGCAAAAATCTATTCCGTCCACGAACCCTAGCACAATCCCTCGCAACCCTCACTGTCGAAACTGCCCCCCGCGCCAGTATTCAACACGTGAACAAGATTACCGCATCTACCTTTGGAAATGGCTCGACCCAACGTCTCAAAACCCTTAACCTCCAACAAAAAGCCGCTCTTTGCGCTCTCCTAGCCCTCGAATCGCGCAATCGTTCCCAATCCTCCAATCTCCTCGCTACCCCATCGAAATCCCATAACCTAGCTCCAACCATCAAACAACTATATAACACATACAACATGCTCTGTACTCGAGATGCAATCTTGCATCCTTTAACCAGCACGGAATTCAGAGATGTGGTAGGAAGTCTCGAGACGCTATCATTAGTTGCGGCGGTGGATGGAAAAAATGGCTCGTTTGTGTTGAATGGGGGAGTCAGGGCACGAGGGAGACCCGGGCGCTTCGGATCCGGTGTGGGGGTGGGAGATGAGAAGAGAGTGGCTAGTTGTGTTGGGGAGAAAGAGGTTGCGGCTGCGGTGGAGGGGCTGGGAGCGGGGATTTTGAAGAGCATTTTGAATGGTGAGGGATTGGATTAGTGGGGCTTTTCTGTGCTCATCTGTATTTCGTTGCATAGCGTTGCGGTGCGTGGTTTGAGCGCTTGGGTTGGAGGATATGGTCTCTTGAGGCATTTGTTTGGAGTTGGTCGTTGCGTTGTTGCATTGTTGCATTGTTGCATAGGATGATAGGGGTTATGACGAAAATCACGCGGTGTTCGCGACTTATGGGTGTATGAAAATGAAAGTGGTAGGATAGATGGATACTACTTGTTTGTATAGGTATAGATAAATAGAATTACACATTCATCAATGAATAATTATAATAAACTATGGTCTGAGTTGGTGTTCCAATTTTGGTATAATGGTCATTTCAAGTGATGATGGGTGGGTGATATTTTGATGGATACACACAAAGAACTACTAGGTACCTACCTAGGTATATCATTACATCGATCATGTAATACGCCTATTCAATATAAATCCATTTCCTGGATGTATTCTAAATTTCTGGAATTACAGTTTCATATCATCGTAACTAATGAGCGCTTTCAACCCCCATTCCATAATCCTCATATCCGCATTATCATTACCTACTTAACCCAACTCACCCCATATCACATATCACATATCACATTTCCCACTTTTCATTGCATCATTGCATCATTCCATCATTCAACTCCCCAGCCTCTCTTACTTCCCACCCTGCTCAGCAACCACCGCCGCCGTCCCTGCATTTCCCGCGCCCAATCTCTTTCTACTCACGACTCTCAAACCCGCAAGCATCAAAACCAATGCCTCGATACCCAGAACCACCGCTAAGGTAACCATTGCGCCAATCACCCCCGCAACCGCTTTCGAGATACCTCTATTTCCCTCGGGATTTCCCGAGGAGGAGGAGCCCGAGGAGGAGGAGGAGGATGACGCGGTGGAAGACGCGCAAGCTCCTGTTGATTCTCCGCAGGCGGTACACCAGGCATCTTGATCACCGATGGCGAATTTGTTCATCTGGGCGACGAAGGTGGTGTAGGGGAGAGTGAGTTCTGATTGGTTGAAGAGCGGGTAGGCGACGAGGGGATTTTCGGAGGCGGAGCCGTTGGAGAAGGAGAAGCGGACGGAGATGTCGGAGGGGGAGGGGTAGGAGGTTGTGGAGACGGTGGCGTTGGTGAGGAGTTCGAAGGTCATGGAGGAGGCGTAGTCGACGATGCCGGTGAAGTTTGGGGAGAGACTGGAGAGGCCGGAGAGCCCGAAGAAGGAGAGGAAGGAGGCGTAGGCGCCGAATTGGATGGAGACTGGGACGGCGGATTTGCCGGTGATGGTGGTGTTGAGTTGTTGGAGACTGGGGCGGGTTAGTTGATTTGGTTTGGTTGTGGTGGGTTGGGAGATGATGGAGTGATAGTCGTATTAATTTGGGGAATGACGGATATGCACTTTCATCTGGTGATCTTCGGTGAGGCATGATGAATTAAAACTTACATCTGTGCCGCCAATGTAGATCCTGCAATTGCACGAATGGTATCTGAAGCATTGTATGCGAGATTGAACTCGTGAGTGTTGGCTAGAGCTAGCAATTGAGATTGAGTCTCATCTGTGAGAAGGTCATCGGAAGGAATAGACGAGTTGTGAATGATAGAGACGTGAATGTAGTCATAAACTATACCTGTTAGCAATACACAAAGCCTACTGAAGCAGTTAGATCTTACTTGTATATGCATTCTTGAAAGTATTCGTGCTGGAATTGAAAGTGGTGTTAATCACAGGGAGAAGGCTCTGGTAGAAGCTCTTGGTTGAATTGAGTAGACTCGCATATTCTTCCGAATAGAAGTAGTTATTGGAGCTCGTGACAGCATTTCCACAACCACTAGAGCCTTGCAGCCAGGAAGAACTCTCAGAATTGGCACTGCTAGATGCTGTTGCAACAGCATTGACAGGAATAAGTTGGAAACCACCCAAAGGTGCTTCAACACTTGTGCCATTGGCAAGTGTTTGACTTCCCAATGTTGCGCCAACAGGTGGGTATAAACCTTGGAGAAATCCGGCTGCAGAATTCTGAAGGACATTATCGACTGGTGCTTGAACATTTAATTGAGAGACCTTAGCTATGTCTGAACTGATCTTGTAAAGAGGAGAGGAGGCATTGGAATCGATGTATCTGTTTCGATAAAAGTTTCCAGAAGCATAAACTTGAGCGTACCCAAGATCTGTCAAAGATGTGGGAGCATAGGATTTTGTAGTACGATCTCCATGACGATGGAAGATATAAACACCCAAAACAGTTTCTGACGTAGACTCTTGAGCTTGAATCAATGGCAGAAGTGCAGAGATAAAAAGAGCTTGCTTGGCCAACATCTTGAAGGTCCAATGTATCAAACAAGGTGACTAATACACTGACAGGTCAAGCTTGAAAAAGATGTTAATAACGCTTCAAAAGCAAAGCAAAGAGAGTGAAAGTATGAGTAACTGTTGGACTAATGCCATGTATATATTTACTACATATCTGCACGTAGTCGGCCATATGCATCCGTCATACTTTCTTATCTTTCAACCACATCTACTCGCAGATGTCTGTGTTGTACCGGAGATGCATGGATATTTTGGCAATCACAAAGCTACAGAGTAACCAAAAGGTGTGGTTAATATCCTCATTCCCATTAGTCCCCCGAGGTGATCAACCAATCAGTTCCTATATCTATCGTCAGTTATGGAGGGGTACCAACGAAAGATCCACTCCCACTTTTCCCCTCACTAGAAAATTTTAGCTCTCTCGCTCTCCACCTAATCGATTTATCAACCATCAGATCTTTTGATCATCACATTCCATTCGAGACTAGATGGAAAAACTTAGTCAATTAGCCCCGAGGCAATTGCTACAATCCAAAGATCGTGTACAACAAAACGAAGAGTTGAGATGTGTCAACAGAACAGGAAAATTATATCACATGGAGTCCGCCTACGCCTTTTAATGACAAGCGGGGCATCGGATTATTTGTATACCTCCGTAGTTCTAGATTTATCCCATCTTTCTATCCACAGGGCCTCGGCCGAACAATGCAATGAATCAATGATAGCTTGGAGCCTTTGAATAGTTCCCGTTACCTTATATAAAGCTTTGAAATCGCGCCGATTGGTTGCGGTTGCAAGCTTTAGGAAAGGAACTACCCGCGTTAGGCAAAGTCCGGTATACAGCGATCTGATTTGATGGCTGATTTATGTAATTATTCTATGTGATGAAGAAAGAGTATCTATCGCGCAGCTCGCTGTAGTATTATAACATATTCCCAGTAAATCAATGGATATCCTCCCTCGCCATGATTTGTTTAACGCCGAAATCACATGGTATCTCTCGCACATAAACCCCCTTATGATAGAAACTCCCAAATCACCCGCATTACCATAAACTCCCTGTAGTTGAATTAACATACTGTCTTGTATACTCGTTTCCACTTCGGCCATCCGGTCTTTTCTGCTCGCTCCTCTGCTATCAAGGCTGGCAAGTCTAGACCGCGCATTCCGGTCTTTAGATCCATATCCTTGGATCTCATCACAGAAGTCCTATACCAAAATTTATATCCCAGATAGAATACAATTACGATGGGTGCGGCCAAGTATGCTAGGAAGAAGCTTTCACATTGCTCGAGTGCCGTCATTTGCTGATAGCCTGTAGGCCATGCCCCAGTCCAAAATTGTGCGATGAGAATGAGGACATTGAATAGAAACCCAATCCACGAGCCAATGACGCCTGGCTGCGAACGAAAAGCTAACTCGTCTAGGCTATGACCTTGAAGTCCCCAAGCCCGTCGAAAACGGATATGGGCAAGGCAAATAGATCCCCAAGTAAATATTGAGGAAAGTCCAGACAGTGCTAGCATCCAATCCAAAACTGTTGCCTGAGCACCAGAATCCGCTGCATAGGCGAGAAACCCAAGGGCCGACGATACGCCAATAGCTACGATCGGACGACCTTTACGATCAACATAAGCCAGAATCTTAGGAGCTTGACCCTGATCTGCTAATGCCGCAAGAGTCCGAGAAGATCCGAATATTGACGAGTTGCCCACAGATAGGACAGCAATAAGGATGACTGCATTCATAACAGAAGGAAGTACCGTTATTCCAGCATTTTGAATAGAAATAACGAAAGGACTTGCTGCGGTATTCGCATTTCCAGTAGCAAGCAATCTTTCGTCGGTATAGGGGACGAGAAGTCCAACGAGAGTAAGCGAGACAATATAGAAAAGAGTGATACGCCAGAATACTTGCTTCACGGCCTTTGGCAATGACTTTCTGGGGTTCTGCGTTTCAGCGGCAGCGAGCCCCACCAATTCAGTGCCGGCAAAAGCAAATGCCGCGGTGACAAAAACACTACACATGCCTTTGAATCCATTGTTGAATGCGCCCGGGTCACTCCACAACGTACCAGCTACATAACCTTCTTCAAGGCTGGCACCGCAGTTGAGGATTATGGCCAAAAGTCTGTTGGAAAAGTCAGTTTTTTGCTCCGCTGAAACATCTATTGATTCTCCAAAAAAGCGTAAGGGTAGGATGATGGCCAAAACGTGGATCGAATATGACAACGGTTAGACTCACATATATCCAATAATAGCCACAACTTTGACGATAGCAAAGAAAAATTCCGCTTCCCCGTACCCTTTCACTCCAAACATATTTATGCCAATAATTGTGAAAAGGAATACTGTGACAAATATAGCGTGATCGTATCGCTGTTGTATATCCCAGAAGTCGATTGTGATAGATGCCGCAATAATTTCTAATGGAAGAACCACAAGCCATTGCATTGCATAATTCTGTTTGCTAGGAGTTAGTATTTAATGCTAGTTTCCATATTATCTGTGATTTCTCATACCCATCCCATAGCAAATCCCCAAGCCTGTGAGTCACGCAATTAGTCAATGTCTTTCCCGTTATATCAATGGATGAACTTGCCGGATCCAAGAATCGAGTCGAGTAGGCCGAAAAAGACCCTGAAACGGGAAACAGAACAGCCATTTCACCCAAAGCATGCACCGTACAATATAACATGAGCCCGATGAGTGTAAAGCATATAATAAGTGATGCAGGTCCGCCAGTTGCGAGAGATTTGCCCGACGCAACGAAAAGTCCGGTACCTGTCCATAGATTCGTCTCAGTAATAGCCCCTTAAATCACTCGGCGCGTCAAGCAACTAACCTATTGAACCTCCAATTGCGATCATCTGCAGATGCCTCCCTTTCAATCTTCGTGCAAGAGGAGAATTTGCTGTTGCTTGCGCGGCAATTTCGGCATGGAATACTCTCCCATTTGCGCCTACCACACCCGGCGGGGTCATAGTAAGACTTGGATCTCTTCGAAAGCTGTCGACAAAGCGACGCCCTATTCCATGTTTTATTTGCGTTATTTCTTCGTAGCTTGGTTCCCCGCGTCCGCTACTGTGGTCCGGAGTTGTGGATTGGTCTTTATCGGGGTAGACTGAACCCTTTTCAATATCGTTCATCCTGAAACTATTCATCCTGATGATTTCGAGTTTTGATGTGTATGTAGTCTAGGAGATGTCGACAGCCTGTATTAGGAATGATGCTCGTCGATCTAGATCTACCGCATCAAGATTACCGGTGAGGCTGAGTTGTCTCGAATGATTAAGAGAGTAACTGTTGAAGCTCTCAACCGGTTGGCTAGAGCTCAGAGGTTGTGCAAGTGATAATGTATGGCATATTTTCCAGTGATTTCCAACATCATGTTTCATACTATGAGTATGAAAGTTGGTTGAGAAAGTTTGTGGAGTAAGAAGATGAAGTTGTGACCGGAAGGCACAGCTATCTCGGAGAGTAAAAGGCTTATCTTTTGCATGAGATTGCTCGAAGTGATTAGACGTGATTGGACGTGATGAGCTTGATTTGGGGTATGGGGGCGCTAGGGCTTGTGGAGTTATCATGGTAGCGGGATGAACTTCATCAATTGCAAGCTGATTGCCACAAACATGACGAAGAAAGAAAAAGAAAGAAAAGCATCAACTAACATCAACTAACATCAAACGCTTCAGAAAGGTATATGTCATTCTAATGATGTATCACCATCGTTGCCAAGTAGGCAAAATAGGGGTACAATATCTCAACTTCTGGGCAAAGCTTGGTGTTCGACCTGTAAACAATTGGTACAACGACGGCCCCGTCAGCTGAACGGTAGATATGGGATATCGCACCTCCCTCCCTCTATCGTCGCTCTCGTCCATAGAGGCTGGGTCTGGAAACCATGTGATAGTTCACTTTGGGTGTCTTTCTTGCGTCTAACAGCTCGATGCTTAAATATAATTTGTAAGAAAAACTTCCGATTCGACTAACCGGCTGTCAAAGTTGCATCAATGAAGTGCCGGCCAAATGTCTGTGTATCTTTTAAGTTTGATAGATTTGCGTTCTGTGTTTTGGTATTGCGCTACTCAAAGCAATAGCTTACAACTTTCTTCCTATGTAGTGAATCGATTGTCAGATACAATAACGGGTCCAAATGTAGACAATTATCACATGGAGAGGTTGAGAGGTTGAAATATCGAAATATTCAACACAAGGTGCAACGCAATGTAAAAAAATTCAGCTCATCCGAGGTATTTATTTAAACCATCGGAATGTAAATAGACAGGATATTTCGTCGCAAGTACAATGATGGTATCTATATTTAGAATGTTCAAATCCGCAAGTAATAATAAGAAAGGCATACAACAGCCTATGATCTAGATGCGATAAAAATACAACGAATTTACATGGTCATCATCCATTATATAGGTACAATTTTGCTTTTTCAACTTCACGTCGCACCACTCTTCAATTCCTGAACTTCGACCTCCTTTACTTCGGGCTCCTTCTTTGGTTCTGGTAATATCTTTCCGTCTGGCCCCCTGGGCTTTCTCTTCCATCCAGTTGACAACAATGGGCCCATCTTGAATCGTGGGAAGGCATGCGCTTCCGTGTTAATAACTATTTGGTCCAAGGGGAGGATATCATTTGGCGAGAAAAGAAGATAAAAATATTTGAGGGTTTCAGCCTGGTTAAAGTCAGCAAATCGTCAATAGCAAGCGGATATAGGGTGTACTTACAAGCCAGAAACTCTCCATGTTATCCTTGGTTTGCGCAGGTAGAACATTGGCATTAGAGAGACTCGTGAACCCACCACCTTCGCTAACAGCTGTGTGGTTCATGAAAGACCTAAACATTTCCCATCCCCATTCTCTGTACATCTCCTCTCCCGTGATACGCCACATATAGAACAATGTCTCGATAGTTTCTGGCCTTTGGAGATTGTGGTTATCGTTGTTCTTTATAATGAAGTCCTTGCGCCACTCTTGATTCTCCGGATCATCAAAATTTGTAGGTGCTTGATGTGGTGCATCTTCTGGCAATGGTGGATCATCAATGTTGAAATGTGCGATTTCAGGGGCAAGCCCGGTTGCCATCACTTTGTACATTCCCCAGCAGGTGTGCGTCAATTCTCTTGCTAGTTTCATCTCTTCATCCTTCTTCGCGTTCCAGCTTGGTAGCTTGCGTGCCTCAGCCTCCGTAATGCCACCAGTGGCACCTAGAGCAATTGTTCCACCCATAAAGCATACCAAGTGATCCATCTTTGGCGAAAGAGAGCCACCCAGACCCTCAGGTCGCTCAGCAAGAACAGTAAATTTGGAAGGGCTAGAGTAAGTGATAAGATGCTTCCGAACTCCCTTGAGTGCCTCGTCCCATAATTCTTCATAGATAGGCTCTTCTTTTGAAGTTTGAAGATATTGCTTGATCAAATATTCGTAATATGAATCACCACGGCTGCCAAGACGAATGTTGCTTCCACGGAAGTTTCCAGTATTAGCGTATATGTAGATTGGCAAGAGCCCATCCTCCATGCCATTATCATCAATAATCTTCATCACCTTCTCAGCCTTTTCCCAGTATTCAGTCTCTCCAGTAAGTTTGGTAAGATATTTCAGTTCCAATTGCAACGTCGCTGCCTCTGCTGTGGATGACGCCCCGCCATCATCATGAGATGGAACACCTTTGGTGGTCTTGAGATTAACGCTGGCGAATGGTATTCCAGAGGGAGAGTCAAAGGCGCCAAGCAAACGATCAGCTAAATCCCTTGACTTTTCCAGATATAAATCCTCCCCTGAAGCTCCTTCATCATCCTCGGCCAATGGAGCTAAGTGTGGGTACTCGGTGGAGAGATAATGGGCGGATAGAAGACCCCCAAGCATGCGAATTGTAGTTTCGAACGTGTTGACTTCTTGATCTTGGTCGTAGTCCAGTGAAGTCGTAATCCATTCCCTTGCATGCTGCACCCTGCTCGTCAAATTCATCAATATCATTGTATCCAAAGCATCCACAATTATCCAGCCCATTCCTTTTGGTGTCATTTGCTTTCCATGTTTCGAAATTGGATGAAACTCGTCATAGCCCCATGCATATCGCTCATATGCATCCCAACTCAAAGTAAAAGCTTCCTTGACCCTTTCCCTTCGATCTAGCCAGTCAATTGAGTTAGGTCCCTTTTCCTGCCGCTGTAGCCATGTCCATCTGTTTGTCGATTTCTTTTTCGTCTCGTCACTGGATCCAAAGAACCCTAAAAAGTATAACGCACAAAATAAAAATGCGATGGACCCAATTATGGTGCGCCGCCGTTTGTAAAACGGTTGTGCTCTCCTGGAGGAGGCATATGAATACGGCTTGTCTTTGTACATTGGCAGATCCCTATTTTCTCCAAGAAGGTTTCCAACTCGATCTTGTATGCCGCTAATTACTCCACTTGTATGTGCCGTCGATGATCTCGCGGTCATGCCAGAGGCCGCCCAAGCTTTGTTTTCCAAATTGCGCTGAGGATCTGTGAAAGAGGGGACGTTTTTTGGGATAGAAAAAGTGGACATCTCTTCGACAGCTTGCTTCCCAGACTCATAAGCTTGCTCGCCTGCTTCTTTGACCCTTTGAGTGATATTTGAAGCAGCTTGTGTCGCAGTGCCTCGAAGGATGTTGAATGCTGGAGAGCGGCGTAGATTAAAGGGGTCGCGACTGTTCATGGAAACTTCAAAATCATTTCATTACTAGAAGGCGCGACTATGAACAAACACTAAGATACCAAAAACTTAAAATATCTGAAGCTTATCATTAGGTGTCATTTCTTTCGAAACGGAGAGGCTCAAGAGCTATAAATTCTGCGAGAACAGTACACGTAACCTTGGAAGGCGTACTTACCGAGCCTTGGGATAAATTACAGGCTTCATTCTCAGCCTTATATTGCACCTCTGAGTGTCCGTCCTACCTGTTAGATTTGCATTTCCAAGATCTTCTTGAACAGTCGAATCTGTTCAATAAATCTGAAAGACGTTGAAAATGGCGATTTGTGTGTCTACCCGGTATGTTTGGGCAATCATCATGAGAAATTTGGGTAGCCTCTGATAAAACTACGAAGAGTAACTTAGAATTCGAGCATATATATACCTGGTACCTATCGTAGGTCTGGCGATAGTTATCTGGGGAGCTTCAGTGGGTAGAGATGGAAAAGCAAAGCTCCCCCTGACCGCCATTTTAATTTTAAATGTGGGAATGCGACGAGTAGACTTATTATGATAAGAATGGGTAACTGTGATGAGAATAGCTAGAATCGCCAGGTCTTATAAGTTCGTCTACCGAGCCAGCAAGCCTAGCACTCGAGGCACTGTATGTAGCTGGCTCGGCTGGTAGGTATCTGACCGTTCCTAAGGAGGAGCTACAAAAGAAGATACAATGTCATGGATTATCACAACGAATATTTTAATATTTTTCGATTTTCGATTTTACAAATCCATAACGTGAATTTACTCTGGAAATTAACATTTGAACAGAGTTCTTTTTGGCAGGATTTACTAGGGATTCACTAAATATATGTGAATCACCTACATAAAGCAAGCAAAGCAAGCAAGCAGGCACAGCAAACACGGTACTTACACCATTACCGATTTATAGGTTCAAATCTTTGACTCTCTAGCCAGTGCTAAACCAGTCATGATGGCAACACATCGCCATGAATATCGTCAGTGGCCGTTTCTCACGGAAGAAGAGTTTGAGCTCGCCTGTGCGTTTCTGGATCGAAGATATTGTCGAGCGTCGTTGGGACCTGCAAGGAAGAACCTCAAGCTGTCCATGGGACGAACAGCAACTACTGGATCATGCTATGTTGAAATCATCCGATTAATTCACCCACCAAAAGATGATGATGATCTGTTACTTGCTCTTAGCAATTTGAGTAGTGGTTACGCTCCAAATTCTGCTCCGAGTCAAGAGGTGGAGATGATGGATGAGGATGAAGACGATGTTAGTGACTCTCTTCATTCGTGTTGACACTATGTGAATACTTAGACTCATTGACATCGTATAGGAGGCACTGCGTCCAAATAAGCCTTGGAGACTGGAGAGTGACGCTACCCCCCGATACAGTCTTTATTCTCACCAGCCTTACGTTACCTATGAGATTCACCTACATCCCACTTACAGAATACCGACTTTGTGGTTTACGCTTCACGATTTACCAAACGATGAGCCTGCGTTTGACATAAATTCAGTGTATCGACATCTCGTGCCGGAAGAGTACAAAAGTGAACTTCGTGCAATGGGAGTTATGGGTGGAATTTCTGCTGCTGTAAGTGGCTAATTTTTGCTACGAGAATACATCCTAACTAGTTTTAGCCGCATCCCATCACAGATGTACCGGCATTCTTCATTCATCCATGCCAAACCAGGGAGGCAATGGAGAATTTTGACTGCCCGGCAGATAATTATTTAATGGTATGGCTTGGCTTGATAGGTGGGTGTGTGGGACTATGGATGCCTCATGAAATGGCTCAGGAAGATCTATAGAGAAGAGCTTTTGGTGTTCTGCCTCAAAGAGTTTCGTCTTCACTGGGCATGTAATACATGGATCCAAGATATCACATAGATATTGAAGCTTCATGTTCATTTTGTGGACATGCAACGACAAAACCTATCACACGTGGACAATTGAAACATCACCAATTAGGTATGTACACTTGTGTTGTATCGGAAACACACAATGGTTCACACGCCATCTCTGACATGTCATTAGAGGTCAATGTACTTCATATGCGAATTGTATAGGAGCCGTAGCCCTTTAGATCCATTTTAGTCGACAACCGTGTGACCAAGACCAATACGCCTCAAACCAGTCCCCAACGCCTTTGCCATGCAATATCATCAGTCGCTAATCGTCATCACTGTCTTCCTCCATTGCAACGTCTCCTTCACTATCTTCTTCCTCCTCTTCATCCCGACGTCTTTTTTGTCCAGCAACACTTGCACTTGGGCTTGTTGCATCTTCCATGGCGTGATCAGAGGCAGGAGCTGGAACCTGGAGGGTTGAAGGCGGGGGTGGGGGAGGTAGATTACTCGTAGTGGTAGCTGCGGAAGGCGGCGCATTGAAAATGCTTTGCTGCAATTCTGTTGCCACGACCGCAGCCGCTGCTGCAGACGGCATACGGAAAGTACCGTCCAACTTGGCAATGGTATCTGACTTTGATTTGGCATATTGGATATTCTAGTAAGGTGAATGTCAGCCCTCAATCATTTTAAGTAGACGAGCAATAGAATTGTAGATTTCCCAACTAACCATTTCACGTCCAAGAAACTCAAATCCTTGCAATGCTCTCATAGCCTGAGTCGCGGTCTGGATATCTCTATACACCACGTGTGCTTGACCCCTCATCTTCATTGACTTAAGAGCTATGACATCCAGGACTGGACCATAAGTCGAGCATAATGTGTAGAGTTCTCTTCGTAAATCATCTTTTTGAATCTTCGACGAAGGTAAATTGGTAATGTAAAGGGTTTGATTTGGAGGGAACGACGTCCTCACTGGGACGGGTTTTACTGCGGCACTCATTCTGTTGTTACTGGGTAGTCAGTCGCGTCTTGAATTTGGGGTACTTCCAACATATATCAATATAGATATAAATTTCGAGAGTCCGCCTTTCGCAGCCTTGCGCTAGCTTGAAGTGGTTAGTAATCAGACGTATAGGGAGTACCCGCCCCACGTTTAAGCAAGCATCTCTCGTCCATGCGGTAATGCCAACATAAGTACATATTTACAGTGATAGTAGAGAGCTCCTCCTATCAAGAAGCAACAAAATGCCTGGTCCAGAAGTTCATCACCTTTTCCATCATCCTATCGCGGATCACTCGTTCTCAGCCGATAGACAGACATTGGCTGTAGCACGCGACACCAGTGTCGAGCTCTATGGACGAGACGGTAAGGGCTTCAAGCTCAAGGACGAATTGAAAGGTCATGACAAGACCGTCACCAGTGTTGATATAGCTCCTAACAGTGGTAGAATTGTAACATGCTCCCAAGGTTTGTACCCATTTAATCCTTCCAATTGATTTAACAATGTTGATAATATTGGGTCAGACCGCAATGCTTTGGTTTGGGAACCATCTCCCACTGGCTATAAACCTACTCTCGTCCTTCTCCGAATCAACCGTGCGGCCACATTTGTTCGATGGTCTCCTTCCGAAACGAAGTTCGCCGTTGGATCCGGTGCAAGGGTAATTGCTATCTGCTATTTTGAAGAGGAGAACGACTGGTGGGTTTCGAAACACATCAAGAAGCCTATCCGTAGCACCATCACAACTGTCGCATGGCATCCAAATTCCGTTCTTCTAGCTGCCGGCTCTACCGATGCCCATGCGAGAGTGTTTTCGAGTTTTATTAAGGGGGTAGATGCTAGACCAGAACCTGGAGTATGGGGAGAACGTCTGCCATTCAACACTGTCTGCGGAGAGTATCTCAACAATTCTGCTGGATGGGTTCACGCGGTATCGTTCTCACCGAGTGGAAACGCCCTGGCCTTTGCTGCACATGATAGCAGCATCACAGTCGTGTACCCCAATGGCGCAGACCAACCTCCAAAGGCTGTTGTTAGTGTCAGCACACAGCTTCTCCCTTTTATGAGTTTGATCTGGAATGGCGAAGCTGAGATCATTGCGGCAGGCTATGACTGTGAGGCATTCAGATTTGGTGGTAACGAAGGGGGCTGGCAACTCACAGGTTCCTTGGAATCAAAAGGGGGCCCGGTCAAAGATGTTGGAGAGGAGAGTGCTTTCAATATGTTCAAGCAAATGGACTTGAAAGGAAAAGTCAAGGATGATACACAATTGACAACTGTGCATCAAAACACCATCAGCACTATCCGCGTCTATGAAGGTTCGGAAAGTGGTGTCAGCAAGTTCACTAGTAAGTGCTCCTTCAATCTATACCTTTACGGGGAAACTAATTGATTTTTAGCGAGCGGTGTTGATGGAAGAATTGTTATTTGGAACGCTTAGAATAGAGCTGAATAGAAGCACTGACGAGTTTCGCAACTTTGTGTACAAAGCCTCAGCATGCAACGCAGTGGCTCTTTGCCGTTCTATAATTTCCATGCAGAATATAACATATTACATGACCCATTTTAATTATGCCAGAGAACAATCCAGCTAAGTATATTTCCTTCGAGAATCACACCATGTTTCGTTGTAATTGTTGCCCTTAGAGAAACCAGACCTTATCTCTCTCTCACCCTCCTTGAAGAATCTGATAATATTTATTTCCATCTTCCATTCGTACCACCTTTGCCCTGACGAAGCTTTCTCTACGCCATGGATTTCAACAACGATGAGAAATCTAAAGCTTTTTATCCTTTTGACATTAATTCATTACGTCACTCCCGAAGTTTTCGAGGCATTGTAAACGGGATCAATAGTCCTATGCAACTATCCAATCAAGCGATTCTTCATCTCCCTGTTGCGTCTGGCAGTCAGATGGCGTCTGTGACGGGAAACGCTAGCGCCGAGGGAAGTAAGCCCTTTCAAGGCGAAAATAGAGCGTCCTTTGGGTATGTATTGCAGGAATCCTCTCCAGCCACTGAGGCGACGATTGATCCTGATCCGGACTGTCTAATGACCACACCTGTCTCGACTCGACAAAACTCTCAGACCCTACTAGATCCGGGTTACAGTCAATGCCAAGGAGGTTCTCGTGCAACTGACAACCGCGCTGAACATTCACGTGCACTGCCTCTACGCCACGTTTCTGGCAGTTGCCTTCCCACTATTGCTATGATGCTAAACAACTCTCCATCAGACCGGGTCCCCATGCATTCCATGGGGACTTACACACCATCTAAACCAATACTGGATAATAGGATGTCCATTTCGAATGCCTCAGATAGTACAATCGTTGCACCTGTATCGATTCCTGAGCAGCGCTACTTCCTCTTGAATACCCTCTACCAAATATGCCTAGATGCCACCACCACTTACATTCGCGCTCTTCCAAATTCTTCTTATATTGGTCTCAGATACGAACAAACTCGTTCATATTCCCACCGATACCATCCATACCGTGGTAGAGGACGAGAAAGGTCATACAATGATGACCATTCCAAGACTCTTATGGACAATATCGAAGTAATCAGTACATTCATATGGAGGAAGGCTAGGAGAGATCAGATGGCACCTCATCGAGCCGAATCGGATGCGGCCATGGATATGAACAATCTTTATAAACGGGGAGAAATTTTGGTCGATGGTATGGAAGAAAGAGCCAGGACTGAGGAAGCGCGAACTGCAGTATTGAATGCGGCTCTGGCGATGTGTGAGTGGTTGAGAATTGCGGAAGCTTGTACTTTATGTAAAGAGATTGAAGGAGAACTGAGAGATCTCACGAACTTAGAAATGGAACGCGCGAGACAGGAAAATGGTGAGGATGGTGATATTCTCTGAAGAGCGTGTATCTCAGAATTCAGTGAGGATTCAGCTAGGTATTTCCTTTGCAGTTTATCAACATTGAACGCAGATAGCACATGATATTCTCATCCAATGTGAATCCACTCTATGAAGCCAGCTTGAATATTTGAAAACTCATAATCGATATCATATCAATATATGATCTTAATGTAACCTATAACACAGAACCATCGAGATGATGTAACATGATATGACGGAATGCAGCCGTGACCTTATGCTGTATCTAAAAAGCGCCTGCTTGAGCGGGAAACCATCTAATGATCGAGAGAGCTGAAAGCCAGTGGCCGTTGTTCGCAATGAAGTAAATATCAATTTGTTTTCATGGAGCTAAAGAGGACTAGATCTAATCTAATCTTATCTTAGATCTACCTAGGCTCATATGACCGAAACGAACCCGAGTGAGGGGATATGCACGATAAATTTCGCCATACCGAGTTCCCTGCAGATCGATTACTTCTCGTCCCGTTACTAATTAGAGGATAAGTAAAAATTATGAGGTGTGCGATGAGGAGTTTTCTATCCTCTGTACGCCCTCCATGACTTCGCAGTAATACTAATACATATTCTCTATATATCTCTACACTCACTAAAGGAGCAATTTTCACAAAATGGCAACCATCAAGTCAGTGGCAATCATCGGCGCTGGACCAGCTGGCGCAATTGCACTCGATGCTCTGGCTCAGGAGCAAGCATTTGGTGAGATCCGGCTCTTTGAGAGAAGAGAGAAAGCTGGAGGATGCTGGTGAGTACGAAATGTCTGAATGGTTAGAGCAATAGAACAATCACTCATATTCATCTCACAGGCTCGGAGATCCAAAAGATCACGTCCAACAGATTCCAGACTTTGAAAAACTTGCTTCTCGCAGACCAGACGAGACTCTTCCCATTCCATCTGAACTTCCTACTACGCTTCCGCACAATACCCAATATAGATTTTCTGATACCTCGATATATCCCACGTTGGAAACAAATATAGATGCTTTCGCCATGTCTTTTTCTCAAGAACCGTTTCCGGAAACAAGATCGGCGGTCAATATCAAGAGGCATGGCGAAAACTC